GTAAACATCGCACGTAAACATTGCAACGTAAACATTGCAACATAAACATCGCATTGTAAACATCATACATAAACATCGCACATATACATCACACATAAACATCGCACATAAACATCGCACATAAACATCGCACGTAAAATATCGCACATAAACATCGCACGTAAACATCGCACAATAAACATCGCACATAAACATTGCACGTAAACATCGCACGTAAACATTGCACGTAAACATCGCACGTAAACATCGCACATAAACATTGCACATAAAAAACATCGCACATAAACATCGCACGTAAAACATCGCACATAAACATCGCACCGTAAATCATCGCACATAAACATCGCACATAAAACATCGCACGTAAACATCGCACATTAAACATCGCACATAAATATCGCACATAAAACATCGCAACGTAAACATTGTACATAAACATCGCACATAAATATCGCACATAAACATCGCACGTAAACATTGTACATAAACAATCGCACATAAACATCACACATAAACATCGCACATAAACAATCGCATGTAAAATCATACATAAACAATCGCACATAAACAATCGCATGTAAACATGCATACATAAAACATCGCACATATACATCACAATCATAAACAACGCACATAAACATCGCACGTAAACATCGCACATAAACATCGCACGTAAACATCGCACGTAAACATTGCACGTAAACATTGCACATAAACATCGCATGTAAACATCATACATAAACATCGCACATATACATCACACATAAACATCGCACATAAACATCGCACATAAACATCGCACGTAAACATCGCACATAAACATCGCACGTAAACATCGCACATAAACATCGCACATAAACATTGCACGTAAACATCGCACGTAAACATTGCAACGTAAAACATCGCACGTTTAAACATCGCACATAAACATTGCACATAAACATCGCACATAAACATCGCACGTAAACATCGCACATAAACATCGCACGTAAACATCGCACATAAAACATCGCACATAAACATCGCACGTAAAACATCGCCGACATAAAAGTGATCGCACATAAATATCGCACATAAACATCGCACGTAAACATTGTACATAAAACTCATCGCACATAAATATCGCACATATATACATCGCACGTAAACATTAGTACATAAAAATCATCGCACATAAACATCACACATATAACATCGCACATAAACAAACCGCATGTAAACATTCATACATAAACATCGCACATATACATCGCACATAAACATCGCACGTCCAATAGCAACAAATGTATGGTGTGTGGGACTGTGCTACAATAACCACCCAACTGTAAGTCCTGTGAATGGATACTTACAGTTGTGGTTGAAAATACTAGCCGTCAGACATCACTAACCGGATCAATCACCACTGTTTTTGGTAGAAATGATATTTCTACATGGCAGATAATTTCCTAGCTGGTGTAGTAGAGTCATAGAAATCCAACAGACCCAACAGTCCCATGACATGCATGCTGCTGATTCTGTGTCATTTCGAATCACTCATTGAGGGGCGTGTTCAAAATAATAGCAGTGTGGAGTTCTATTAGTGACGTCATTCATTCTTTGATAAACAGGCGGCAATGATTGCCCTTATTTAAGGAAGGAAGGCAGCAAATGTTGGACATGCTGGTTACAGTGCATTTCTCTCTGAAATTCTGAGGAAAATGGGTGGTTCCAGACATTGTTCAGAAGAACAGCGTACCTTGATTAAAAAGTTGATTGGAGGGGAAAACATATAAAGAAGTGCAGAAAATGATCGGCTGCTCAGCTAAAATGATGGCAAATGCTTTAAAATGGCAACCAAAACCTGAAATACGTGGAAGAAAGCGAAAAACTACCATTGGAATGGATAGAAGAATAGCCAACATGGGACCAGCGGACTCAGCCAACAATCAGCTCCATGAAGATGAAAGAAGGTGTGACGTTCCCTGTGAGGACTCAGCCAACAATCAGCTCCAGGAAGATGAAAGAAGGTGTGGCGTTCCCTGTGAGGACTCCGCCAACAATCAGCTCCAGGAAGATGAAAGAAGGTGTGACGTTCCCTGTGAGGACTCAGCCAACAATCAGCTCCAGGAAGATGAAAAGAAGGTGTGGCGTTCCCTGTGAGGACTGTTACAATTAGAAGACGCCGATGTGAAGCCAAGCTAAACTGCAAGAAGTCCCCCCGCAAAGTCCCACTGTTGGGAAAAAGACGTGCTGAAGAGGTTACAATCTGCCAAAGAGCACATTGACTGGCCTAAAGAGAAATGGTGCAACATTTTGTGGACTGATGGAAGTAAGATTGTTCTTTTTTGGTCTAGTGGGCAGAGACAGTTTGTCAGACGACCCCCAAACACTGAATTCAAGCCACAGTACACTGTGAAGACTGTGAAGCATGGTGGTGCAAGCATCATGATATGGGGATGTTTCTCATACTACGGTGTTGGGCCTATTTATCACATACCAGGGATCATGGATCAGTTTGAATCCTCTCAGAATACTTGAAGAGGTCATGCTGCCTTATGCTGAAGAGGAAATGCCCTTGAAATGGGGGTTCCAACAAGACAACCACCCCAAACACACACAGTAAAACGTGCAACATCTTGGTTCCAGACCAACAAGATGGACGTTATGGAGTGGCCAGCCCAATCCCCGGATCTTCATCCAATAGAAAAACTTGTGGGGTGACATCAAAAATGCCGTTTCTGAGGCCAAACCAAGAAATAGAGAAGAAGTGTGGAATGTGGTCCAATCATCCTGGGCTGGAATACCTGATCACAGGGGCCAGAAGTTGGGGACTCCATGCAACACAGATGTACAGCAGTTCTCAGAAACAGTGCGACTACAACCAAATATTCATGAAGTCATTCAAAGGAAAGCAAAATCTTCAAACATTTCTCAGTTTATATAGTGAATGTTGGAGTTTGGAAAGAAGAATACAAACACTGAGATTTTTTTGAACCGTCTAATATTCACTTTTCATTCCATTTTTTTAGAGGAACAACACAAATTTGATGTATTTTTCTTCATGTTGTGATTTGGAATAGAATGTGTCGTGTTCCCAATGCATTTTGTGTGGATGGAAAGAAAAGGATTAGAAGGATTTGCAGCTTTACTCACTTTTAATTCATCACACTGATATTATTTTGAACACAACTGTACATAGGTCACTCAATGTCACATGTTGGTACGAAAAACTCTCTCTATATCCTCTATAGTAACCCTTACCTCTATAGTAACCCTTCCTCTATAGTAACTCTTCCTCTATAGTAACCCTTCCTCTATAGTAACCCTTCCTCTATAGTAACTCTTCCTCTATAGTAACTCTTCCTCTATAGTAACCCTTCCTCTATAGTAACCCTTCCTCTATAGTAACTCTATCCTCTATAGTAACTCTCCCTCTATAGTAACCCTTCCTCTATAGTAACTCTTCCTCTATAGTATTCTCTTCCTCTATAGTAACCCTTCCTCTATAGTAACCCTTCCTCTATAGTAACCCTTCCTCTATAGTAACCCTCTCAATAGTAAACTCTTCCTCTATAGTAAACCCTTCCTCTATAGTAACTCTTCCTCTATAGTTAACTCTTCCTCTATAGTAACCCTTCCTCTATAGTAACTCTTCCTCTATAGCAGTGGTTCTCAACCTTCCTAATGCCGCGACCCCTTAATACAGTTCCTCATGTTGTGGTGACCCCAAACACCATAAAATTATTTACTCTTTACACATTGGAAATGTGTTGTTCGATGGTCTTAGGTGACCCCTGTGAAAGGGTCGTTCGACCCCCAAAGGGGTCGCGACCCACAGGTTGAGAACCACTGCTCTATAGTAACTCTTCCTCTATAGCAGTGATGGGCGAACCTACTTTTTGAGCCCGAGTGCCCAAACTGCAACCCAAAACCAACTTATTCTTTCAAAGTGCCAACACTGAGCAATGAAACCTGAATATCGAGCTTTTGGTTTAGAAAAAACAACTCGAATACAGGAAGTGGCAAACTAATTAACAGTACAGCTGGAGATGACCAAGAGGACTGCGGACACAGTACAGGAGATGACCAAGACTGCGGACACAGTACAGGGATGACCAGAGACTGCGGACCACAGTACAGGGATGACCAGAGACTGCAGACACAATAGTACAGGAGATGACCAGAGACTGCGGACTACAGTACAGGGATGACCAAGACTGCGGACACAGTACAGGGATGACCAAGACTGCGGACACAGTACAGGAGCATGACCAGAGACTGCAGACACAGTACAGGAGATGACCAGAGACTGCGACACAGTACACAGGAGATGACCAGAGACTGCAGACACCACAGTACAGGAGATGACCAGAGACTGCGGACACAGTACAGGAGATGACCAGAGACTGCGGACACAGTACAGATACAGATGACCAGAGACTGCGGACACAGTACAGGAGACCAGACAGACTGCGGACACAGTACAGGGATGACCAGAGACTGCGGACACAGTACAGGGGATGACCAGAGACTGCAGACACAGTACAGGAGATGACCATAGACTGCGGACACAGTACAGGAGATGACCAGAGACTGCGGACACAGTACAGGGATGACCAGAGACTGCGGACACAGTACAGGGATGAACCAGTAGACTATGCGGACACAGTACAGGGATGACCAGAGACTGCGGACAAAGTACAGGAGATGACCAGAGACTGCGACAGTACAGGAGATGACCAGAGACTGCGGACAGTACAGGAGATGACCAGAGACTGTGGACAGTACAGGAGATGACCATGTAGACTGCGGACACAGTACAGGGATGACCAGAGACTTTGCGGACACAGTACAGGATGACCAGAGACTGCGGACACAGTACAGGGATGACCAGAGACTGCGGACAGTACAAGGAGATGACCAGAGACTGCGGACTACACAGATACAGGAGATGACCAGAGACAGCGGACACAGTACAGGGATGACCAGACAGGAGCGGAAAGTACAGGAGATGACCAGAGACTGGCGGAAAGTACAGGAGATGACCAGAGACCTCGCGGTCAGTACAAGGGATGACCAGAGACTGCGGACACAGTAGTACAGGATGACCAGAGACTGCGGACCTAGTACAGGTGATGACCAGAGACTGCGGACACAGTACAGGGATGACCAGAGACTGCGGACAGCACAGTGACCTAGAGACTGTGGACAGTACAGGAGAGACCAGAGACTGCGGACAGTACAGGGATGACCAGAGACTGCGGACACAGTACAGGAGATGACCAGAGACTGCGGAACAGCACAGAGATGACCAGAGACTGCGGGACAGCACAGGGATATGACCAGAGACTGCGACAGTACAGGGATGACTGGCTGACCTTTGGGGAGGGAGGGGGGGGGGAGGTACCTGAATTTGACAGGTACCCGCTCTCCGACTTCCGCAGATGTTTTTTTTCATCTTACTATGGCCTGTTCCTTAATCCAGCCCCGCGCGCTGTCTTCCCCCCGGCTCTGTAGTGTGGCGCTCCATTCGTCGACACAGCCGGATGCCCAGTGCGCATGAGTCGAGCGCTCGACAAGCGCTGCGCTTTGTGATTGGTCCGGCGGCTTCTGTGATCTGTCATGGTGTCCCAGGTTACCGCCGCCTTAAAAACCAATTCACAAAGAGCACTGCTTTCCTTTGCATGCCACCTGGGCATCCGCTGTCAGGCATAATACAGCCGGAAGACAGCGCAGCCG